ATATGGGTGAAATCGGTTCACAACCACGCCTGAAATCTCGATTATCACTTTATCATGCGAGAGTATAAAATGTTCGGTGACACCCGAACTTAGCCCTTCATTACTTGTTTTTTTATATTTTTTAAATATTTTTTTCTCAAATATTAATATTAAATGTAGTGGAATAATTGATTTCTCAGTTCTAAAAATTTTGAATACAACAAGCATAATCCTCTTACACCTGCGCTGCGAGCACTTAGGCACGAGTAAACACCACAAGTACCCCCATTAGTGGTGGCAACGAACGCAAACAACACAACAAAACTAAAATTATGTTCGAAGCCACACAAATCGAACCAGAGAACACGGCTGCGAACGGCATAAACATTATAGCCGGGAAAATAAATAAAACCGGTACAACGAAAAAGATAAACTACGAGCAGGGAAGATGAAAGCAAATTTGCCGCTTGGCGTGCAAAATCAACAACAACGCTTACAACTTGGCAGACTGATTGGTAGTTGCATGCAACATGTTTGAAAGCGCTCGAACCAGTTTGAAGCGCGAACACTTTGCGGCCGGGGTATATTAACAGCTGCCTAATGGAAATTTGAAGAATTCTTTAAGCGGATGTCGAGTGAAACGTATGTGCTGGGACGAGCGCACTCCGTACTGTAATTGTTGAAAAGTTAGTGTAGCAACAACAAAGTGCAACGTAAACGCGTCGTGTGTGTTTGTTGTTTACGCTGAAGTGCGTGTGCGAGATTTCTTACACACAAAAATAACAACGAAAACTCATAATTAGGCTACGCGCTGATTGAGTACGTGTGCGCGCGTTTGTGTTGGTGTGTGTACGCACAAAAACTCGTTGCCTACCTGAGGCAACGCCGCTTGACTCAGTTACATTGGCGGTTAGCTGCTTTGTGCGTTTTTGTATTACTCGCGTTCTTTTCGGTTTCTGCCTTTTGTGTTGTGTTTTTTGATGCGCTTGAGGGAATTCCATGCGCTTTGATGTTATTTTCATGTGACCCGACAGCAACAACAACAGCAAGCGCAACATGAAAAGTGGCAATATAGTCAGTGCTCCATAAAATCGTGTGTAGCTGGTATTTATTTGCTGCGGCAGTGAATGTGTAAAGAAGGAAGCAACACAAAGAAGTAAACGGCAGAGAGCAGCCGCAAAAAACAATAAGCATACAATAAGAGGGGCAGTAGATAAATAATAAGTGTTTGTGGCATGCTATAATAATGCTAAATAACAACGCAGATTGTTTACATGGAAATCCGAAAAGGAATATATTACACATATAATAAAAAAGTGTGCCTGATAAGCTGCACAACGCTCTACGCTTAGAATACGGGCGCGTTTGCGTAATATGCCAGTGACAAAGTTGTACTAGTTTACTTAATATTTACAAAAAACTACAAATACAAAATTTAAAAAATATTTTTTGATAATAAAATAAGTGACAACAACAAATTGTTAAGATTAAATACAATGTGCTCCCATAAAATGTGTCGTCCCTACGCGAGCATGTGCTTTGTAATCTACTGCATTATCCTGCAATTAGTTGCAACTGCTCACGCTGCGAACACCGGCACGGCAACGAATCAACACATGTCCAACGGTGTCATCAGCGGCAGTAGCAGCAGTGGGGGCATTGCCAATGGCAACAATGGATTACAATGTCAACGCATCACGGTGCCGGCGTGTCAGGGTCTGGGCTACAACATGACAGCTATGCCGAATTTAGCCGGACACACCAACCAGTTGGAAGCCGAACTGCGGGTGGGTACAAAAAACAAAAAAAAAAAAAAAATACAAAAATGACAAATAATACAAAGAAATAACCGAAAGGTGACCGATAGGCAATCATATGTACAATAACGTTTTTCAAAAACTGCTAAATTAGCTGTGAGCTCACTGAGTTATGACACATTAGTGCCGGATTTGATATTCTGTCATGCTTAAATAGAGAAACTATGAATTGATCAGCCAAAAATATGTATGGAATTATTGTGTGGCTAATCAATTTGGTTTACAGTTACACTTTGCGATTCGTCAAAGTTTGGAGAGTGGCGAAGCGAACAGACAACTGGCATAAATAAACTATAGATAAAATAACGAGCGCTTTTAACACTTTAGAGGTTATACGAGTAATAATTGTATAAATTTGCTGTACTTAATGAAGTAGAAGAAAGGACGTTAACTTCGGTCGCAACGAAGCTTTGGAAAGGTGGTCCGTTTATACGATAGCTACATATTATATATGCTTTTGTGGTCCGATCTGAACAGTACGTTCTGTAGCGTTGCTTCAGATAATAACCTATGTCAAATTTCGTGAAAATTTTAGAAAATAAAATAATTTTTTACACAAAGACTTGAGTTCGATGGGTTAGTGTTTGTGTCAGCTACATGTTACAGATATCCAATATCGGTGGTTCGTACAAATAAGTAGCTTTTGGGTGAGAAAAGTAGGTTTGCACCGGTTTGTTTTCAGTTCGTTATTCCAAAAACTGAAAGACTAGTTCACCTAAAGAGTGATCCATTTCGTGGTTCCGTACTTTTTTAAAGAAAAAATTCAGAAACTTCAAATTAAATGGGGAATATTTATTATCATTCGAAAGAACATTCTTCGGCATTTATTTTTTGAGACAGACAGCTGCTCTCGTTGGTAATTTGCATACATATGTATGTATGTATATACATATGTGACCTGGTCTACGAAAAAGGAGCTAACGTGCGAAAACTAGTTTTCTTGGAAACAGCTGTTAAAAATCTCATTTCCATCCGAATCAACTAAAAAGTGAAAATTGATTTTTTGGATTTTTTGACACCTAAGCCCCCTTTCCGTAGACCTGGTCACATATATATATTTTATAAGTTCGGACTTTCGACATGTCACTCACATAGAAAATATCTTCTATAGTAAATTAACTAAATCCACAAACTGTCGACATCTTTTTAATCTAATACAGAACTCTTAATAAAATTTTACTCAAATTCTTAAGGTGCGAAAAACAATCAGCTTTAGTTTGACTGAGAATGAGCCATAAGAACTAGTTTACCTATTTTATCTAAAACTTACGTGTATTTAGTATGAAAATAATTTTCAGAACGTCCACTCTTATTTTCGGGTAATCTACGAATCGCTCATCTTAATCGGTTTTAATCTGGCTGAAAGTTTAAGGAAGATAAAAGGGTATTTTTATATCGTATATATTTCTATTAATTCTAGTGCGCTGAAGATCAGCTTGATAGTGCCTTTAAGAGACCGAGCATAGTACATATTTTTACTTCTTTCAAGCTAACTACAGCACCTTTTTACAACAATTTGCTAGAACAACATTTGCCTTCATGTTTTATTCAAAGTGTTATATAAGCCTTAATAATTTACATTCGCATTTAATTGATTTATACTGCAACACCTAATCCAGCCACCATCAAAGCCTCCTACCTATAGCTATACACGTTTCCAAATAAAAGCAGCGCGAGTTTCTTGGCGCGGCACATCTGCCTAACTGTTAGTTACTGTGTCGTGCCACCGAAAGCGTCGCACGGCTTTGATGAGTTTGGTGGAGTGCTGTGTTGAGATGCGTTCCTTTGCGTATCGCGGCTAAATACAAATGGGAAAAACACTTGCTCACACGCCAGCACTCGCATATAAAGATCAGACACTTTAGATAAGCACGCACAGCCGTTGAATGACAGCTCAAGTAGTGAATGACAACGGCTCGACCGATCGGCCGCCTGTGGCCGTCCCCACTATAGACATACATACATATGTTTGTTAGTTTGTATGTCTGTGCATAGTGGTTCACTAAGTGTGTGATACTGACTTTATCGCTCGTAAAGAAAATTCTCAGAAGTTTCGTTTGTACGTGTTTTGTGAAAATTTCTTTAATATCAACATCAGTTGTTGTTGGGAATTGTTTGCGAATGCAAAGCGGTGAATTCTTAACTTTTTATTGTGTTGTGTATACTATATTTGCTCGGATCTACATAAGTACTTGCAGATTAATGTATATATAATATTTATATATGTAGTTTGTCATAAATTTGAACCTGCATATCTGATACTAGACCGATTTTAGTCGTTACGAGAAATTATTCGTAATAGTTTGGACCCGATATAATTTCAGTTTATATGACTTGTTGAAAAAATATGCTTTCTTGTGCTTACAATCTCCGAAGATAAATCCGAATCAGTACATTTTACGTAGTCTCGACTGCCTAGGAAACCTTAGACACTGTTGTATCAGGGTCTGATATTTCATGTTGATTGCTTCTGGCGTTCAAATACTTTGTATAATAATGTACTATTTGAGGTTGTGATAAACTTTCACAATTAAATTTAAGTCAATATATTGAACTAAGGAATCTGCAGACGTTTAACAGAGTAGTCTTAGATCAAACTCTCTCTAATGGTTGTCCTTTGTTTCTTTTCAATGAGTTTTAAAACTTGACCGAACAAAACCGAACTATATTTCGAGATAATGTAGTAAATATCATATTACATATACATAGGTATTATAAAACTTAAACTCCCGCTGTCAGATATAACCAATATACAAGCTGCTTTCCAAAGTAAAGAATTGAATCTAGCGCCCCCTGGTGGCCATTGTGTAACCATTTTATAACTACAACTCAAATTTTGCTTTCATATGAGTGGTTTCTATTATATCGTTTTTCCTTCGCCTTTAAACTTATGTTACGCTATTTTACATTTTCGTTGCCAATATGCATTTGTATATCATCATATACACAATTCTTTTAAATTTCAAAGATCTGGAATCCTAAATTTTTTTATTTTTTATTTACACATAATTGTGCTGACAACATTCTTAGTGAATGAAACAACAGTTGGACGGGGCGTATAAGAAGGTGGGAGTGAAGAATGTAAAAGATAAGAGATAAACTTATCTACCAACTCAAAAAAAGTTAAATAAAACGAAGTCTAAAACACTTACAAGACAAAAAAAAAAAAAAAATAAAACGAGTATTTACGAATGGTTACGAATCAAATGTAATTTACTGTGCATGACGGTTATGAAACTGACAAGCCGGCAAACACATAAATGAGTTTTTATACCCAACACATTTTACTTCAAAAATAATTTTAAAATTAAAAAAAAAAAAAAAACAATTTAAAATAATTAAACCAAAATAAACATAATCAGCAATAAATATAAACAATTGTTCGCTGATATTGGACCACTATAGCATATAATAAACATATCTACTATATGTGTGTGCCTGTCATATAAATTAATCGAACAGAATTAAGTCCTTGTATGAAAAACTTTTGTTATTTATAAGGTATCTTCAGGAAAATTGATTCAAATTATTGTCCGAGGCAAAGTTACAATCTTCGAAGAAATTGTTCAGGTTGGACTACTGTTCCATGTAGCAGCCATACAAACCGGCCGATCAAAATCGAGTTCTTGTATGGCAAATTGTCTTATTTGACGAGATATCTTCACAAAATTTGACATGGTTTTTTGTAGTATAATCTTCGAACAAATTGTTCTGATCAGACCACTATAGCATAAAGCTGCCGATTATAATCGAGTTCTTGTCTGAAATCTTTTGTATTTGTGGAGGGTATTGAACCTTCGATGCCGAAGTTAAGGTTTTTTTGTTTTAAATCAAAATTTGTTGCTTTGGGTATGAAATTTAGCATATTTCTCTTATCAGTCTACAAATATCTGTGTTTGTAGGTATGTTCCAACACATAGGTATGCGTGTGTTTGTATTCAGTGGAGCAGGCGAAAGGAGTGTAGTAAATAACAATTGCATGTTTGTGTGTAGCAAAACATTTGTGCTCATGTAATTGTGTTTTATTGTTGTGCTATTATCAGCATTTTGCTGTATTTCTTATAGGCTATTTGCTCAAGTTGTTGCTGTCAAATTAAAAGACAATTTCATTAAGTGGTCTCGCCTATAGAGATTGGCCAAGGCATTTAAATACAAAACATGCATATGTGTGTGAGTAAATATGTACACGTATGTATGCTTATGTTTTTTTTAAATGTATGCTTGTTAAGCAACTTTATTGCATCGACAGTTTTTAGTTAGTTTTTGGTGTAGCCAGTTGTTAATAGGAAATATGCAATTTATATAGACTTGCAGGTAAATATGACGTGCATACATAAGACGTCATAAATATGTATGTTTCTAAAAAAATATACATATATATATATATATATATATATATATTTAGTTATGTACATAAAAGTTACGACTTACTTGCTTTTGAGTTTCGAAAAAGCTTAATAGACTTCTTGTCTGTTTGAACAGCGTTTAAATAGAAATTCTTAACATATAAATAAATATTAAATATGTATACGTATGTATGTCTGCTTTGTAGCGCTTTGCTTACTTTTAATTATTTACCTTTGAATTTAAAGCGCCACCTTTTTGTCGCTGCTGTCGGATTAAGTGTTTACACTGTTTACCTTCCTAATGCGTACATGTGTGTGCGTATGCATGTATGTATATGGGTATGTACACATTTCTTCACTGCTCAATCAGGATTTATCAGTCAAGAGAAGTTCTTAAAAACTACAAAAATCATCTTACATGTGTATGTGTGTATGTGTATACAAATATGTATATGTACTTTTCTTAGCGTCTAAGGCAGACATGCTGCACTTTGATTTGCTTTGTGAGCAGCCACCTCAAACTACAGCTATAAATACTTGCTTACATATGAATATGAATGTATGTATTTATTTCTAATATTATCTGCCCAACTGTTCGTCTGAAATACTATTCGTTTATTTGTT